CATGAAAGTCAAGGACATCTAATTTTCAAATACTAAGTCTAAGAGTATTAAAGACACCAAAATAATTAATTAAAATACTTTATGCCCGAAAACTAAGGACATCGTTTCATAATCGAGATAATCCAATCCGAGCTTGAATGTGTAACTCAACTTGGAACCTGATATGCTTGAGACTGACTAGAGATGAAGGCGAGTCGAAGTCGTTGGTACACTCACTGCACTCCATAAAAAGAAACAAAGGAAAACACAAGTAGGGCTCAGTATGGGGCAGCATGTACTGAGTAGGTTTCATCGGCCAACCCAAAATAAAATTAATATACAATGAATAATAGTATGAAATCAACTATGATACTTAACTGGTGGCAAACAACAAACAACATGAACAAGTGACAATGGAAGCAGTACACAATCACTCACAATATCTAGTACACATATGGGGACTCATGCCTCCACACCACGCTCATTTGAGAAATGAGTTCTTTGAGATTGAGTATGTTAAGTTAATTCAATAACTTTTTCCTTTAATGTTACCGTGTCAGAACGTGACACTCCGATCCAAATATACGTGTCGGAACGTGACACTCCGATCCAATTATACGTGTCAGAACGTGACACTCCGATCCAAGAATAACGTGTTGGAACGTGACACGCCGATTCAATAATACCGTGTCGAACGTGACACTCGAATCTAAGAATATCTTGTCGGAACGTGACTCCGATCTAAGAATACCGTATTAGAACGTGACACTCCGATCCAATAATATCATTCATTTATTAAATATTTTCACCACTTTGAATTTATTAACAATATTTCATCAAACATTCTTTATTCAAGGCATCACTTCGATAGAGAGGGTTCAAGAATATAAATTTTATGGTCTCATGATTTCAGACCAATCACAAAACAGACAACCAAGCTACACAACCACACAATCAAGTACATAGAAAACTTTAAAATATTATTAAATGCATATCAATCACTATTAAGAGTTTACTATTAAATAGCATAAACCATAACCTACCTCCACCGAAGTTAAACTGCTACTTCTCCAATGCTTTTCCTTTCCTCAATGCCTCTCAATATTTCCAATCTAAAGTCTAAGGTGCTCGCGATCTTCTTTCGTTCACGCTGCTCTCTGTCATTCTCCTCTTCCGCTCTTTTTGTTTTTCTACAGATTATTTATATCCTAATTATTATATGACTAATTATAAGAATGGTGAAAGTAACCCACTATTAATTTTAATGTTATCTTTTTTTACCACAAACTAAATTAATTATTAAAACTACCCCATTAATTTCATAACTATAATTACGAATAGTCCAAAATACTCATCTAAAATCTATTAAAAATATTTAGAAATAAAAACCTCTAATATTTAAAACGAGCAAATGAGTCGTTACATCAAGGTTGCATAAAGGAATATTATATAGATAAGATATATTAATTTCGTCAAATCCATCATTCATAAACAGTAAAATTGAAAAGAAAAATAAAAAGCAAAGAATCTCATATCGTTTACTGTTAACCAGTGGAATTTGATTGGTGGACAGGTATGATGGCCAAAAAATACTTAGTCTTTGGTGGTTTTCGTCTAGGCGAGTACTCCGCATAATCAAAAAGATAATATTCACCACTGTTTACTACGTTGATGGGCTTGCCCAATCTCATTAGTCATTATGATTAATCTCTCAAACTATCACCCACATATTAATTCATTTACAAATTTCTTAAATAATTGATTTATTAATTAACGTGTTTCAAATTACTATATATTATGATTCGGACAATTTGAATACGCATGATGTAGGATTCATTTAAAGAAAAATATTTTCAGTAGAAATTATTAATTTGCTCGTTTTAATAATTACATAGTCACTCTCAATGATCTAATTAATTTTGATTAACATTAAGAGATCCTCTATTTATTAAAAAAAATATAAAAAATTATTTTTAAATTTAATTTTAAAATATTTGATTAAGGAGGAAGATTTTTCTACTCAATCCGCGCCACATCCGCAAGTGGTCCCTGTCATATAGTTAACATGACCTTTGTTTATTTAATGTCTCTCATTCTCATTCTCATGTTTCCTGTTTAGAAATAACAAGACACGTAGAAAAAGCGAATATGTCAACACCATATTACTGCTCATTGTTTGGTGATGGAGTTATAAATTTCATTATAATAGTATATCGTATGAAAAATAGATATATTATAAAAACAAAGGGATTGTTTTATATACATATATATAAAATGAACCTTTGAATCCTATATGATTTCACTTCAAATTCGAATGTGATGGGCGATTTAAGCCGATAAGCAGATGATGGAAATATATTAATTTTTGGATTCTTGATTTTAGAGGTGATTAATATCTTCTCATTTCACAATATACACTAGTTTTATTTACTTTATTATTAAGGATTAAATACTCATGGAATAGTAAACACATATAAAACATTAATCAATTCCTTAGATCATCAAATATTAAGTGAATAGCCTTCTAGACTTCTCGTATTTAATTTGAATGTATTTGAATTGAAAGTAAATACTGAGTACTTGTCCAATGGTGCAAGGAAAAGGGACACAAAAATCAGACTTTAGGACCCTGTTTAAATAATAATAATAATTGAATTTATAAGGTTTTTAAAGTTTGGCCTTCTCAAAATAAAAATTGTAGAATTATTGAGGTTGAAAATTATAAATAAAAAATAATATATTATATAAAATAGGATGAAAAAAGTACTACATTTTTTTTTTACTTTATATAAATAAAAAACAATATATTATATAAAATAAATGTTAAAAATGTCTGGTCATGAGACTAATAAAATGTGGCATTCAATTCTTTGAGTCTTGAAATAACATATCAACATACATGCTAATACTGAAAATGATCAAGTTAAATACATATATGATATGACAATACAATGAAAACATTAAACTTAACGTAATAAAGGAACTATCCAGTTGCCATCAGACCATTCTTGATGAACCCTCAACTTATCAATAGAATAGGCAACGGGAAATAGACATAGTACTCTTGTTCAACTTTGGCAGTGATTACCCCAAACCACCATCCCTCATTGGCATACACATCGTAGATTTCCATTGGCCTTCTTTCATGTGGAATAACAGGTGGACCTCTGAAACATGTACCGACTCCTCTAGCGGCGCCGTCTTATCATCATTCACCAGTGTTTTGTATTTAACTTTGTAATGATAAGCACCAATCGGATGAACAATACTTGCTTGGTAGTAAGAACCTATATAGCCTTCTTCTTGGCTTGCTACTTCAATGTCATCATTAATTTGAAATATTAACGTTGTTTCTTGTTTCTTATATGCTGTCTCTCTAATGTTTTCTGAGATAATATCAATTATTAATTGGTGATTTTCGTTTGCATCATTTGGTTCTGCCATTTGAACTGATTGAGCCATTTTTTTTTTTTTAAAAAAAAAAATAGCTATGACAAAAACCTATGGCAAAACATTAGCTTTTATAAACAAATTTTACAAAAGAGATTCTTAAGGAAAAAATGTTAAAAAATTACACCCAAATCAAGAGAAATTTTATGTCACGGTCAAACAATATTTAAGGAATTTTTATAAAAGATTATCCTAAAATCTATGATTGAAGATCAATTTTTTATGCTCAAATGTTATTTGATGGTCAAAAAGATATTTAAGGAAAAAAACTAAAAAATACTCTCAAAATTCATGACTAAAAATTATTTTTTAATCATAAAATTTTATTTCATGATCAAAAGATATCTGTGGTCAATATTTTAACTACTACTCTAATAATCTATGATTGGACCAGATTTTTATGGTCAAATTTTGTTTCATGTCCAAAATAAATATTTCAAATGAAAATTTTGAAAAATCACTTCCAAAATTTATTATTAAAATTTATTTATTTTTATAACCAATTATATATTACTTCTTGGTGAAACAAATATTAAAGATTTTTTTTTTTTAAAAAAAAGAACTCCCAAAATTTACAAAGAAAGTTCATTTTTTATTATCAAATTCTATTTGAGGAAGTTTTTTTGAAAACTTCTCCATATGAATGAATATCAATACTATAACATATAATTTTACTTCATGGAAAATATATATTTGAGGAAATATTTTAAAATTTACTATAAAAGTTTATTTTTAAAGATCACATTTTTTATGATAAATAGATAAGATTTTAAAAAATAAATTTCATAATCAACGACTAAAGATTAATTTTTTATGATTAAACTTTACTTCATGACCAAACAAATAGTTAAAGGATTTTTTTTGAAAAAAAAAAAAACTTTCAAAACTCATTATCAAAAGATCAGAAGTAATTCTAATTAATTATTTTTATGATTAATTTTTAAAAACTATTAGCAAAATTTATAGCTGAAGATTATATTATTAAATTTTATAGTCAAATAAATATTTAAGGAAAAACTTCAAAAACTACTTTCAAAATCTACCAATTAAAAAGAAATTAAAATTTATGAGCAATGAAAATCTTTTAAATTGTGTTGAATATCATAATAAATTTTATAGTCAAACTAATATTTAAGGAAAAACTTTAAGAATTACTTTTGAAAACTATGGTCAAAAATATATTTAATAAAAATTACTTTAAAAAACTATGATGAAAGAGATATTTTAAAAAATAAATTCAAAGTTATTTTCAAAATGTATGGGTAAAAGAACATTTCAAGAAAAAAAGAAAATTATGAGCAAAGTATATTTATGGAAAATCTTTAAAACTACAATAATATTGTATATTTTTAGAAAAGGTATGGTCAAAGAAATATATTTAAGTAAAAATGTATAGAAAAAAAAAAGAAGATAAATATTAAAGGAAAATGTATTTGGATTTGATCCTAATGTACCTACAGAGGGCATCCCTCGTGAAGTCATTTCTGTCTTTTTTTTCTTTTCCTCCCTCTATATAAATCCTCTCCAACCTCATCTTTTTCATTCCACCCTCCCTCATAAGTCATAACAAACAAAAAATATATCATCATTACTAATTAGCTTTTTACTTAATAGTATAAATAAATAAATTATAATTAGTTTTTCTCATCAACAAATTAAAAACAAACATGTCGATCTCAGCTTCTTTTTTAAGATTTAGCCTCACTGCTCACTATCAACCTTCTCCTTCTTCTTCTCCACCAAATCAACCTTTCAAATTCCTTAAAAGTAAGTTTTTCTTTTCTACTCTACTCCTTCTTCTTCTTCTTAAATTCTTTATTTAATTGACACATAAAAGTAAGTAGTCGTTTTCAACTTTAGTACTAGTCACAGTAGATGCACAATTTTTATATAAAAAAACTTTATATAACTCTCACGGTTTACTTTTTCTTATTCCTCTATTAAAAAATCAACATAATCTATCTGAAAGAGAGTTTGGAAATTTTCATGTTCAAACCAATTTTAGAATTCAAAATCTATAGTCATCTTTGTTCTTTTTTTGTTTTGTCTGATGCATCTATAGCGGAGTTTTTAAGGGAGGATTTTTTTTTTGTTCGTTTTATACAGGCAACAGAGAACATGTTGAATTCAATCGAATTTTGCAATGTCATGCTGTTTCTAGACGTCGTACAAAAGGTGATATAGTTGTAATTTTGTAAGCGATTTTTATAAACTTGTGAATTTAACAGTTGTTCTTTCACACCCCCAAAAAATTAAAATTACAGATTACAAAGAGGTGCAAAGTGGTTCGTTGCCGGTTATCAAGTGGGACGACATCGCAGAGGAAGTGGACGTGGAAACACACACACTTGAGGTTGTTGTTGAGGCCAAAATAGAAAAAATAATTTATTATTTTTTTTTAAATAAAAAAAATTACTTTTATTCGTTGAGTGTTTAATTAATCAACCTCACATAATTTGTGTAAAAGGTGTACGATCCATCCTCCAACGAGGACCATATCGATGCTATTCGATCGATGCTAGGATCAATGGGAGACGGAGAAATAAGCGTCTCGGCCTATGACACAGCATGGGTTGCCATGGTGAAAGATGTGAAGGGAACTGAAACTCCTCAGTTCCCTTCAAGCCTTGAGTGGATTGCGAACAATCAGTTGGCTGATGGTTCATGGGGTGACAACTCCATTTTCTTGGTTTATGATCGTGTCATCAACACATTGGCTTGTGTTATTGCCTTGAAGTCATGGAACTTGCATCCTGACAAGATTCTACTTGGTAATTACTAGCACTTGATGAATTTTATTCGTTGCTTCGATCGATGACTAACAATTTCGTATATTTGATTATAGGAATGTCGTTTATGAGAGAGAATTTGAGCAGGATTGGTGATGAGAATGCAGAGCACATGCCTATAGGCTTCGAAGTGGCATTTCCTTCACTCATTGAGATTGCTAAAAAGTTAGGCTTAGATTTTCCTTATGATTCTCCCGTCTTGCAAGACATCTATGCCAGTAGACAACTAAAGCTTACAAGGTAATAATACTCTTTATCACTTTTTTCTTTTGCTATCTAGTATTCATATTAAAACCTGACCAAATCTGTATTGGAAAATACTTCTAATCAAACTCAGAGCTAGCTAGAAACTGTTTTTAAGTTCACTTTTTTTTTACAATCAAATAACACATTAAGTTTTCATATGGAGAGGATCTCCATTACAAGAAAAAGTAGTTCATGAATTTATTATATGAATAATTTTTTTTTTAATTAACATATTTAGATTATAGTAGGGTAGTTAATTTTGGATACAAAAAGTTGAATTACTTTTACTTTGATTACCTTGTATGTGGATGTGAGTAATGATAACGTAACATGTGCGTGCTAATAGGATACCAAAGGACATCATGCACAAAGTCCCCACAACTTTACTCCACAGTTTGGAAGGAATGACAGATTTGGACTGGCAAAAGTTGCTTCAATTTCAGTGCACTGATGGCTCTTTTCTCTTCTCTCCATCTTCCACCGCATATGCACTTATGCAAACTCAAGATCATAATTGTCTCAATTATCTCAAAAATGCTGTCCACAAATTCAACGGCGGAGGTATATAAATATTACTCCTATATTATATTATATTATCAGTGTAATATTGATATTGAAATCGACTTATATGTTGTACAGTTCCAAATGTGTATCCAGTGGACCTATTTGAACATATTTGGACCGTTGATCGGTTGCAAAGGCTTGGAATTTCTCGGTATTTTGAGCTAGAAATAAAAGAGTGCATTGATTACGTTAGCAGGTATTATTACTGGAACTATTTTTTCTTTTAAAAAAATAAGTTAGAGAAATTCCATTTTTGTTTTTGGTTTCTTGTGCTAGTATTATTATTTTTTTATTCTTGTGCTAGTGGAATATAATAATAGTATATGTTTTTGTTTTTTAAGATATTGGACAAATAAAGGAATCTGCTGGGCTAGAAATTCCCCAGTTCAAGACATTGATGACACGGCTATGGCTTTTAGACTTTTGCGCTTGCATGGCTACGCTGTTTCTGCTGGTTAGTCATTATCTAGCGGAGTTTCCTACCACCTTTTGCTATTGTATTTTTTTAAAAGAACTATAAGTTGTATTTAAATTTTATTAATAAAAAAACACGTCATATAATGTATTATTAGTTACGTAGAAAATGAAACAAAAGTATATGCTATTGTAGTACTCATAATGTACTACTTGTTGTTGTCTTTTGTCAGACGTATTCAAACATTTTGAGAGCAAAGGCGAATTTTTCTGCTTCGTGGGGCAATCAAATCAAGCAGTGACAGGAATGTATAATCTTTATAGGGCATCTCATGTAATGTTCTCAGGAGAGAAAATACTTGAAAATGCAAAAATATTCACTTCTAATTATCTAAGAGAAAAACGAGCTCAAAATCAACTGCTAGACAAGTGGATCATTACTAAAGATTTACCTGGAGAGGTAGGTACCGGCAATTGAACTTATATTTCTATTTATTTTGTCACAATCGTTTGTTTTGATATTCTGCAACATTATATCTTACAGGTGGGATATGCATTAGATGTGCCATGGTATGCTAGCCTACCCCGCCTAGAAACAAGGTTCTTTTTAGAACATTATGGTGGTGAAGATGACGTGTGGATTGGCAAAACATTGTACAGGTACTTTCATTGATAAATCTTTATTAATTTTGCACAATAACCTCTTCTTCCACAAAAATAATATATGAATAGAGAGAATTTACACAATCATATACAGCAACTTTTAGTTATTATATAGTGGATAACCTATCTTATTTTAACTTATACATTGTTGTTATAAGAAGTCTATAAAAATGTGGTTTTAATTCTTAAAAGATGGTAGTTAGTGATAGATAATTGGAGCCCCACCATATATATAATAGTTGCAAAAGACGGCACACTCACCTTATGCCCGTCTCTTTGTTTGTTTGGTTTGGTTTCACTATCAATTTAAAATGAACACTCATGAATGATTGATTTATCTTTCAACAAATGAATACAACCAATAAATTATCATGAGAAATGGTGGGACCTTTTCAAAGGACAATAGAAAAAAATCAAAGTTTCTTGCTTTAAAAATAACATTGGATATACTGATGTGCTTTGTCGTCAGAATTCACTACACCTCCACGTTAGCCACCAAATAATCATTTTTGACCTTACGAACATATTTTTCGAATTAATGTGCTACAGGATGCCATTGGTTAACAATAGCCTATACCTAGAGCTAGCGAAATCGGACTATAACAATTGCCAAGCTTTGCACCAGTTCGAGTGGAGAAGAATTCGCAAGTAAGTTATCAATTTTATAGCGTGTGAAGTGACAAAAAAGTAATTCATGTTGCAACCGGTTAAATTACATTTAGTAAAGATTATTTATATTTATAGATGGGTACATGCAGGTGGTACTACGAATGCGGGCTAGGAGAGTTTGGATTAAGTGAAAAAAGGTTGTTGGTTACGTACTATTTAGGCAGTGCTAGTATATTTGAGGCACAAAGGTCGACCGAGCGAATGGCTTGGGTCAAAACCGCAGCTCTTATGGACTGTGTGAGGTCTTGTTTTGGCTCCCCACAAGTATCTGCAGCTGCATTTCTTTGCGAATTCGCACACTACTCTAGCACCGCTCTGAATTCGAGGTAACATTGATCATCTATATATTCTACAACATAAAAATAACGGTTGATTGATGATCATGGCAATGACAGGTACAACACAGAAGATAGGCTCGTTGGGGTCATTCTTGGAACCCTAAATCATCTCTCACTGAGTGCCTTATTAACACATGGCAGAGACATCCATCACTACTTGCGTCATGCTGTAAGTACTTATATATATTATATACTGCCTGCCTGCTTTATTAATTAATTACATGAAACAATTCACTAATTTGATGTGTGTGTCTCTCTCTCTCTCTATATATATATATAGTGGGAAAATTGGCTACTGACGGTAGGAGAAGGAGAAGGAGAAGGAGAAGGAGGTGCTGAACTCATAATTCGCACCTTAAATTTGTGCAGTGTTCATTGGATATCGGAGGAGATATTGTTGTCCCATCCAACTTACCAAAAGCTATTGGAAATTACCAATAGAGTTTCTCACCGACTCCGTCTCTACAAGGTTAGACACCAAATTAAATTACAATACATTTTTAATTTCTTCTTAAAAAACAATTTAGAAATCAGTCTCTATCTCTTAGCTATAATATATATAACTCTATTTGCTACAAATAATATAAGCCCTTTTATTATTAAAAAAGATAAATCTTTTGGTGGAGATATTATGTGGTGTAACTGCATATATTTCAGGGACACAGTGAAAAGCAGGTAGGAATGTTGACTTTTAGTGAAGAAATAGAAGGTGACATGCAACAGCTAGCAGAGCTCGTGCTATCTCATTCAGATGCTTCCGAATTGGATGCCAATATCAAAGACACTTTTCTCACTGTTGCCAAAAGTTTTTACTACTCAGCTTATTGTGATGATCGAACAATTAACTTTCACATAGCCAAAGTGCTATTTGAAAGAGTAGTTTAATTATTTCATCATTTATAGTTAGGGTAAGCTGTTATCATTCAGGAATTATGATAGAAATTCATGTTTTGACTGGAAATATATATATACTTAGCTTGTTGGGATAGCGTTGACTAATATAATACTCCTTTTTTTGTCTTACAATTTATTTAACAAGTTAGAAAACATTTGCACCCTACCAAACATGTATATATGTTTTGACCTAAAAAGATACAACACTGATGGGGTGGCTGGTGAAAGAGCTTGTTGATCTTGCCTGTAGCTAAATATTCGACAATGTATGTATGGCAGGCAAAGTGATTAAAAGGTGAGGTATATCAAAACAGTGAGATATTGTTTCCCATTTAGGACGAGCAACACCCAATTTGACAAGACACATCTTCCCCCCTGTCGAGACCATCATACCTATTGTCTTGTAGATATTGTTTACTATGTTACTCATATTCGTTAGAGATTATTTCTTGACGAGAAATCAATGCTTCTTTAATAGTATTAAGTATAAAGCTGTAGTAGGAAACAATTACTCAATACAAATAAAGCAACACTTTTTTTTCTTTTCTGAAGCACACTTATTGTAAAATAAAGGTATAACCTAGAAAACTAACTATGATTAGGTTATCATATATGATTTAAATCCTGCGCAAAAATATCATTATTGCATATATAATACCATGAATGTTGAATTGAATACTACTGACTTCAGTTCTAGTAAGCAGTCTAAAACTTGATGCATGGTGACGATATGTAGAGTGTGGGTTTGGCAAGCTTGAAGCGTTGTAATTATGTTTGACTAATAACATAATTTGAGGCGAACGGAGTTGGTAAGTTTGAAGCGTCTCTGTCTCTCTATAGAATATAATTTATAGACGCAGCATATTTATGGTCCAAAGAGAGGATGCCTTGTTGGGTCAAAATAAACCGCAGCTCTGGTGGACTATGACACACGTTGTTTTGGCAGCAAACAAATACTCAACAAGTTTGCCTTTATTCGCAACAAAAATAAAAATAGTACTTCGATTGAACAGTTTTGTAAATTATGTACTACTTACTAGATTCTTCCTACAACCTAATTTAGTAGATTAAATATTAGACTTCTTCATAATGAAAAAATTTATTATTTTATAATAAAATTATAGCAGTAACACCTTACAAGATGAAACATCAAACCAGAGTGGTCGTGAGAAAGGATCTTAAATTAACTCAATGTATTTATTAGCTTGATATATACACAACTCTTAGAGTAAGCAATTTCTTTTCTTTTCATGACAAAGTACAAAGAGATATATATGGCACCGCCTTATCATATTAATTAACAACCACATGAAGTTGTCGTATAGCCAAAAGATTTTACTAGCTAGTGGGTATATTTCAAAGAGCATCATGCATATATGTAGGTGTTTTTGGTAGTGCGAAAAATAAATTAATGACCACGTCCTCGAGTGCTAGGATTTGTTTTCTCTAGCTATATTCACACAAAACTCATTTTTCTAGTCTTTAAAGAAATTTATTTCTTAGAAAAAAAAAATAAAATATATTTTAAATAGAACCTCAAAATTTTGTAAAAAAATTTTTCACCGTATGACACGAACACACTAGGTTCATTGGCTTTATCTTTTGCCAATAAAGATGCACCTCTTATGTGGTGGGTGGTAAAAGAAGTTGTTTCTCTTGCCTATATTTCTAGATCAATATACTGCTACCTGGATGTTGGACAATATATGGCAGGCAAAGTGTGCTTTAAAGATAACACATCAACAATAAGATGAGAGTGGAGATATGGTAGATCTTCAAAATTGATAAATTGTTTCCTATTTGGGACAAATAGACAAGACACATCTCAAATTCCTTTCCACCTACTTCGACCTTCTTTTGCAACATAATCTATCTTTGTTTCGATTTATATGTGTTAGATTTTTGAGAGACATATAAATATTCTTTGATCGCTAATATTTTATATGTATTTAAAATGTCGGATTACATAAATTCACAGTATTAAGAATTAGTTATATTATTTTTTATTCTTTTTTAAAATAAAAAATCTCTTAAAATTAATAGAGTTCGGATACATCACTGGAGTTCCAGTCAACAGATATTTGAGGATAAAACATTCGGATACTTAGGGGATTGATGTATCAGAGAGGGTTAATACATCCAGATACATAGGAGAGAGATGTATTCGATAGGGGATAGGGATGTATGAGCAAGAGAAAAGTGATGTGCCGAGAGGGGATTTTTGATTATTTTCTTTTGAAAAAGATAGGAAATTTTAGAATAATAATAAATAAGATGTGTATTTAGGTAATTTTCTTTAAAAAAATTTAAATTGTTAATTTTTGGGACTTATAGTATTATTTTACATAGTGTTTGAATATGTAATTTAAATCATTTTTTTAGAAAACAATTCATATGCTAATTCATGGAAAAATTAGAAAAAATCAGTCTCAAGATTTTTTTTAAAAGAAGGTGTCACATTTATTAGTTGAACACTAGGTTTAACATAAATAAATTCATCTACTCATTAAATTGAAGAAAAGGAGGAGTTGGAGATAAGAGTTAAATGAAATAATTGAATTAACTTAGACGATTAAAATAAATTGAATGAAGATTATATCATATCTTACTCAAAATCTACTTGATAAGTTAAACCAACATATTTTTACAAAACTACACACACTTAAAGGTGGCCTTTTATGCAGATGTCCTTAACTTTATGTATCAAAAATAATACACGAATAATTTTTTCCTTCAAAAATTATGATGAAAAAAAAAAAGCTCAAATCCAAACGGTGTTGGGCCTAAATATTTGGCGATTTATGTCTGGACCACTAGTCTCTAGCTACAACATTAAATGGCACAACATAACATTCCCATTTTACTAATCGACAATGTACAACCAGTGCATTTGGGCCTAATTAATTGGGAGTTCACGTGAATGTGATTCTCATAACCCATAATTATTTGTAATTCATGAATTTCATGCTTTCTTCACCAATCATTTTGGACAAGTCTGACTAAAAGTATATAATTATTTATTTATGGGTCATAGATACATGAAACTTGGAATAATCTAGGTGGCTCAAGTTAACCAAAAAATATAAGAATTTGTTTGTTTTGTTCTCTCTACCTACGAATTGTCCATGTGTATGACCAAAAGAATGTGTTGGTGATTAGTAAAATGTTACGACTCATCTCTAGTTCAATTGACTTTGAACGAATATTGCTCTCTCCATGTGATAAAAAAAGGTAGTTTACAAGCATCGTGGCTAAACAATCGTGAGTTTATTTTCGCGTCATTAAAATTTAACTTCCAATAGACAATCAAAAAAGCAAAAGAAACACATGTTGTGTACGGACTTTTACACACCAACTCATGACTTGAACAATGTTTCAACTTCCAGACTTCGAATTCACACCATTAGCATATTATTTCGTTTGATATTTTAGACAAAAATAAAAGCTGACATGTTTCTTCTCTTCGATTCGATGTATGCGATAACAAATTTCTTGCACTATGCTTTTTGTCTACAATAAAAAATGACATTGTAATAATAACAAAATATTTATCGGCGTTTGCTTGTTTTCATAACAAACAACTTTTTTCAAACACGCATAAATATTATACTTTCGCTTCATAGTACTCCACAAATTATGTACTTTTTGCTTTGAAAGATATAATGCCTAATCATTAGTTCGATTAGAAGGATAAAAATTAAAAACTAATCTATTTAAAGGACAAATCATGTAATCTCTTCTTCATTGCATTGCATAAGCTACTGTCAAAATTGTAGTACTTAGTACTTGGGGCTGACCACTTTTTAGCCTGTTAATTAAAAAACAATCACTATAGAATCCAAATAAAACTTATGTCTATTTTCCAATTAAAAATGTAGTAAAAGTGGCTATTTGTGAAGTTTATCCGTGAAAAGTTTTTTTAGGCCCATTAAAAATGGGCTCGACAGTTGTTGAGTGGCCCAAAAGTTCATATACAGCTTCTAAATGCTGAAAAACCCTAGAACAAAGCCTCCATTTTTGCAGAGAAAAGAGCAAGGTCTCTGAAGAAGAGTGTGAATTCAGAGCGGAGGCGCCGGAGTGTTTTGCAGAAGTATAACATTTTCTATTAGTAAATAAGAAACTCTGTATTTGTATTACATAGATATTTTCGTATGTGGATTAAAAAATGCAATTAAATTTTAGTTGATTTCTGTTAACAGAAAATGGCGGACAAGGCAGTTACCATTAGAACAAGGAAGTTCATGACCAATCGTCTACTTGCAAGGAAACAATTCGTAAGTCTAAGACGCAATATCTAATACTAACATCAATTGCCGTGCTGCAGTGCATATCTAAAACTTCATATTTGCTGATCTGTTTTTATTTGTTCTAATGGCATGCCATTTTTTCAGATTATCGATGTTTTGCATCCTGGAAGGGCCAACGTTTCAAAGGTTCTGACATACAAACTTATTGGCTTTGTTTCCTTTATTTTTCTGATTGCCTTGCAAGTTCAGCTAATAAGTAGTCGTTAATACAATTATTGGTTATTAGAATGAAATGACATAAGATCATGTGGCTATTGAGTAGTCATATAGGCTGTCAACTTAGTCTCAGAAGCAAATGTGCTTATTTGATGCAAAATATATCTTCTTCCAAGCTCCTCTCTCCTCTAGAGTAAAAAGAAGCTTGAAAATAGTGCAACTTAGTAAGGGGTACAGTGCGGTATCCAACTAGAATATGATTATTACTTCCTCTGTCCCAATTTATGGGAAGGTGTTTAATAATGAAAATTAACTTTTGATACTTGTGCTCTTGAATAAGCCTTATATATTTGTGTGACCTTAAATCATCTCATTAAAAGTAAAATGAAAGGTTTAAGGTTGAATTATTATATAATATAGATATGTGTCATCCCTTGTATGATGGACTAAAAAGGAAAGAGTCTCACTTAAATTGGGATAGAGGGGGTAATTGATATGGGGAGAGAATGGTTGAGAACCAAGGTTCAAAATTTCTGTCCAAGGCTCCGAGCCTTGTTTGATATAAATATGTACCGGTACATGTGCTTGTGGGGAACGACAAATTGGTGATAGAGCTACTCATACCTATGCATGTTGGAGCTAATATGTACCTCGTGGAATTAGTTGAGGTGCGCCCAAACATGATTTGGTCTTCACGATTCCCAAAAAAATAGAGAGAGTGGTGCTAATCACTTATAGCTCATTTGATTGTTATATACCTTTGGTTTTAATCTCTTACCTGGTTAACCTTTCCTTGTAGGCCGAGTTGAAAGAGAAATTGTCAAGGATGTACGAGGTGAAAGATCCCAATGCAATCTTTGTGTTTAAGTTCAGGACCCATTTTGGAGGAGGCAAATCTACTGGTTTTGGCTTGATCTATGATTCTGTTGAGAACGCAAAGAAATATGAGCCAAAGTACAGGCTGATCAGGGTAAGAATCATTTCAGTGTTTTATTTTTTGCGTAGAATTCATCAAGTGAAGAAAGTCGTGTGATACCAATATTCCTTAATAAACTCATGTTTTATAAGTTCTGTAGATGGTAAGGAACTAATGTTCGCTTCATGGTTTATCATCTTTTGAATGGTTTTTGTAGTTTTAGTATCGTATCTTTAGACATGGTTTAGAATTTCACTTTGTTAACTTCAGTCTTTAAGCGATTATATGGAAACTATAGAAACAATCTTTCTTGTTTCTGAGGATTTATTTTTGCTAAGAGTTGCGATGGGTGCAAAGGTCTTACATCTAGTTCATCTCTTTGCTCCTTTTTTGTTATTTGTGCACAAACCATATTTTAGAGGAATTTGTAGCAAAAAATTATTGCATGGTATCTGTCAATTCAAATATCTTTATTCTAGATGAAGTTCAGTAAAATGTGCTTACAAGAAAAGATTAGATGGTAGTACAAGACTCGCATGTGCAGTTTCATCATTTCAGAAGTTGAGTGTCTTCCACAACTACGCTTAAATTATCCTTCTGTTCTTTTGATATCGAAAAGTAATTGCAAGCTGTAGGTCTACATTACTTTGAGTGCTGCTGTTGAAAAGACTGTTTGTTTGAGCTATGTTGTATTAAAGGCTATTAGACCATAAAGACGTTTGGTTCTATACCTAATCTCTTCCTCTTCCTCCGGTCTTACTTAGTAACATCTCTTCCTCCTGTCCTTCTCTTGCTCATTCAGTTGATTCTGGTTTTGTGTTGCATTTGTTGGTGTTGCTTTTTCTTTTGTATGTTTGTATCAGTGATCTGTTTTTAGTATTCTAGCTGTGCTAATTCAAGCACTCATCTTTAAGTAAAGTAGATGGTTGAGTTTATTGCTCCATTATGTTGAATGCACCTTCACTGTCGTCAGTGTTAAATTTGTGGGCTTAATGATTGAATTCGGCTATAATTTTTGTTGTGGCTAAAATAATTTGTATGACTATTGAAAAACACTTGCAGAATGGATTAGACACAAAGGTTGAGAAATCTAGGAAGCAGATGAAGGAGAGGAAGAATAGAGCCAAGAAAATACGCGGTGTCAAGAAGGTAATGATTTTTATTTTTGCATTTCCAGCTACAACATTGAGAGGTTCTTTTGATTTTGGTTCATTTATTTTATTCTTGTGCTGATGCTGGTTGCTAAATTTTTGCAGACTAAGGCAGGAGATGCCAAGAAGAAATGATCTGCTGGTGATAGTTCCTTTAAGCCAAATGCAGAAAACGTTTTCCATGTTATTTATGTTTCTCTGGCAACTCATGCAGAATCCTTTCAATTTTGGTTGAGTCACTCAAATTATATTTGCATGTTTATGTGTTAGTACTCAGAAACTTAGTGAATTTGGGAGTGTACCGTTTTTCTCAACATTCTCCTTATTTTATAATCACCATTTCAAGTGCTGCGACAAGGATCATAACTTTTGTTAATGGTACTGCTGTAGTTGATAGTTTTCACGTCTGAAGTGATGAACGCTAAAAAGGAAAGAAGTGTGTTTATTGATAAGAAAGTATAAAGGTGAGAGAGTAGTACAAGGTTGGAAGGACATACCAAACGATCATTAATAGCGATAGGCATCTTAAATCAGCGTAGGATAGTATCCTTAGGTATTTTGAGGATAGTCAGCCTGGGCAATCTTTATGTTTCTTTGATATTACTCAAACTCTAAAGCTAGCTTTTTTTAAGAGATGATTGTCCAAGGTCCGTATAATGAATTCGCACTTCAACACACTCCAGGACAATAAGATGGAGCATGTGACACTTGTCTTAATTCATCCCAAAAAGTTAGATTCCCAAGTCCATAGGAGGAACTAACCTACAACAAAACGACTCCAACTCAAGTGCGGATAACATAAACATGGGGGCTCAAATGGAGAAAACTACATTCAGCCCAGGTGTGCTAGTGAACGATTGATTGTCTGTATTCGAATTTGAGTTTGAAAATGAAAAGTTTTTAACTATATCTTCCTTATAGGGCTCTCGTCGAATTGAAAGGGATGCTTTGCCTGCCAGATTTGTACCACAGCTAAAACTCCTTTTCTCATTCTCATACCCGATTTTCATGTATAACAACATTTCGCTATACAATCCAAAAAAAACAACATTAGGAATGACCAAAAAATAACCAGGTACTTAGAAGCAGCACGTTGATATGTGCAGCCTACTAATTGGCAAAGCAAAGAGTGAATTGGTAAAATATGCTGCTGGGTATCCTTTTTATTTCAATAATGTATGAACGGGAAACACAATCCAGCTATTGTACAGCCTAAAGAGACTAAGAATGAGGAACTATAAACTCAATAAATTAAAAGACAAGGTTTTACAAAAAGCTTCTTCTGGGGTGGCCAACTAGTTAGTTACTTGAAAAGCAACAAGAGTCATTAATTTGTTGTTGGTTGTAAAATTTTCTTGGAAACCTGCTTTCTAATTGCAACAAGTCAAAATAAAGTGCCTACTAACATTAACACATAAATTGAAAACTATGTATGATCATATATACATCTAAAGAGAAACTAACATTCAATTCAAACATTCAAATTATATCCCATTGGCAGGACCAGCCACAATTAACTAAAAAAAAACTAAAACTTGGAAAAACAATCGAGTGAGACAAAAGAGGATTATTGTACGAGAACAAAACCACCTGCTCGGACGATATCGCCGTCGTCTTCCTCCTCCCCTTTGGGCACCGTGACCACCAATTCACCGTCACTAAAACGGGCACTAGCCAGTTCCGGCAGAGTTGTGGCCGGAAGCCGAAATCGCCACAAGTCGAGGTCCAATGAAGAATCAAAAACGTTATCAGCTCGGATAACAATCTTAGTAACACCCGGATAGATCTCAACTATGTGAGCTCTAATATTATCGCCGACATCATCTGTTGGGATGACAAATCGCAACGAATCAGAAGTTTCGTGGATTGAAACATCAGAATCGGAATGAAAAGGAAGTTCTAGAACCTTGGCAAAAATATGAGGTAGTCTCCGGAGCTTCTTTTTCCGGCAAACTGAGCCGTTAGCCGGAGACAAAACGTTACTTGTTACTGGATGAACCTTCATGGTGAAAGAATTAAACCCGAACCGAAATAGTTGTGCGCAGAGAGAGAGAGAGTTATAGGACTCAACTGTAGTGGGAATCCTGGCTTTAGATGTGAGAGTAACAAATGGGCAGGCAGGTTCATCTGTTTTTTATTTATATAAATAAATAATACTATATTCTACTACTCTACTATTATTTTATGTTATCACTAAATTATTATTTTTATAAATAAACATAAAAGGAAAATGAAATAAATATAAAACACTTAAAATAGTTGAAGCATTTCTCTTTGTGCATAAAATAAATATAATTAATCATCCTATGTACTACTGTACAGGTCCTTAAATACAAGGGCAATAATATAATACAACTACTTTCGATAAATCATTCTTTATATTAGTCGTGTATGGTAACAGGATCTTTTTCTTCCTAAGATCATAATTAGGAATTAAATAAAAACGTGTTTTCAACAATAGGAAGTTAATATTACGTACAATTTTAATAAATGAGATCTGATTATTTGTAATAAAAGAAAATGAATGGTGATGGAATCATGATGATTAATCACTGCGTTGACTTAAACATCAGTTACGTAATAATATTATATTAATTCCACCCAAAAGAAAGAAAAGTGTCCAGTACTAGAACAGATGTTATTATAATTGTACGGCACAGTGTGTGGGTATATGATTTGGTAAATAATTATGAAACTCTAGATTGCTCATCGATCTCTTGACCATTTTTCTCTGCCTAGCAAAACTGACCTGTACACTTGGTTAATCTTAAAGTCAAAATAGTTTCGACTTGAACTATTATTATAAACACAGTTTAACAATTGAGAGTCAGAGTCATAGTCATAAAGCAATAATAGATAGTTTTGTGAATTTATGTCCAAATCATCTTAAATATATATATTTTTTTTAATCTTAATTGCTATAATAAGAGTAGTATTTGGTAGCAAGCTCGAATTGTGCGAGAGGGACAAAAGAACAGGAAGTTGCGGGGATGCTTCCAAAAAACACACAAAATAGTGGCACCGAAACAGCTCTCTTCTTTTGAATTATGTAATTCCCAACTCATCAAAATAAAGGACTAAACTCACAAAAGAAATGGGATAGTTCAAAATCAAAACATACGTCGTTACTATACAACAACAACACTGCCAATCATATCTCGCGGAGCAAATGAATACACCAAATTATTTCTATAAACATGGTAAGTATTACCAAAAAGGAAAATATGGAGGGTTAATTTTATAAAGTATAAAAGTTGGTCATTGAAAATTAAAGGAATACAGTATGACTTATGAACAACGTATACAAGTTTATATCAGTCCATCAGGTCTTTCAGACGGAATTCTTTAGTTGTTACTTCCAACAATTATAAAGTTAACGTAAGAATCGTTTTGTCTTGGAACCACACGATCTTCTTAAGACTTTGAATCTGGAGATTGAAACCATAATAAAACACAAAAGTTCAAGCAGATGCACTTTACATATTCCACTCAACTGAACTGATGCTAAAACACAAACTTCAGTTCATGAGATCAAGAGAGCAAACGCTACTTGCGGGCCCAAAAAAAAAACACACACACATTTTTAACACCATATCCAATATAGTAAACAAAACTGATTCCATTTTAATTCTTTCTACATTTTCACGTCAAGAAAAATAATCATAATAAATAACACTATCACTGTGAAAATACATAAAAACATTACTTTTTGTCCGTTCATTTTGAGTATGCGCTGCACCTCAAAAAAACTAAGATAGCTCTGAAGCCATGGATGGGGCCACACCTGGAAAGCTCATCTGCATCTCTTCATACTGAAAACATCTGTACCCCCCCCCCCCCTTCTCTATAATCAAAATTCATGAACAAAACTGGATATTTTCTCAAGCCATTTTATTTTGAATATGTCGATGGATATGTACTAGAAACTCGACATATGAAAGCCCATTTTGTGTCTTGTCTTCTACCATGTGCGAGAGAAATAACATGCCTGAAAAAGAGATTCATGGTCATTGCAAGATTTCATATCAAGTGTTAACACTAAGCAGCTAAGAGCAGGGAGAATGTTAAATTGATTTAAAATGACCAATAATTTATGTATGTTAAGATTGGGGATAGAAGTGCAAAAATATGTTACTGGATACAAACCTGATGAATCTCCCTTTTTGCATAATTTTAAGCTGCCAAGATCAAATTGATAATATATCAGAAATTAGACATATTTTGTGCCCATCACATTGTATTCATTAAGTAATGAAATGTAATTGATGAACCATCTCCTAAAAGGTAGGAGCAAATACACAGAAAAAGAAGAATCATACCGGAGATAGTTACACCTTTGGCGTCTAATATCATTAATGATGTCGTTGAGCTTCTTAGAGAGTGGATTGTCATACTGCTGCAGGACAAACTGAGAGAAAAGGGAAATTCAGAATCTATGCAAGAGGAGCTAAATTAGAATAAGTAATTTCTTAGCTTCACCAATGGAAAAAGAGGAACGTTTGACCGTTTTGTCAATCAAGAACCTAACGAACCCAAGAGCCTAAGGTATAAGAAAAAATACAGGTTACTTTTAAGATGACTGTTGAATAAAATTGCACAACCCATCAAACAGGATATAGGTGGTTTGAATGCAAGCCTCATACTTTGGCTTGCGACAAAAGTACCTGCCTGACACATCTGACCACCATGGATTTGTACAATTTAACCAAAGCCATTCAAAAACAATCAATACAAATTAAATGTACGTTTCAGCCACATGTATCAAATGAGAATCCTAGTAAGAAGGGTGGTAAGAATGTGTTTCCATCTTTTACCTACTTATACATTTGGAAAAATATCACCAATCAACAGCAGAAGACATGTAAAATTACCTGAGCAGGAATTTCCTCGACAGATGAAATGCCTAGCAGCTGACGGATAACATTAGGATCTGCAGAGTTCCCAACATATATCAAACAGTCCTCACCGTTCTCGAGAAGATAGATACCATTGTCAGTAATGTGTTCACTGGAAAGTGGAATAGAAGGGGGAATAAGAGAATCATCATTCTCCTACAAATTCAAATACAGAATGAAATGTAAGAAATGTAATCCGAAAATAATGTTTAAAGGGAATCAAGAAAATGAATCGAACTACCAACTTGACTTAGAAAAACAAAAGAAAGAATAGAAACAAAATCCATAAATACAAGTACTTACCTTAGTATCAAATTCATGAATTGCTATCAATCTAGGGTAGACCAGAGGGATTGCCAATGGAGTAGAGAGTGGGGAAACATAATTTATCCAGAAGGACCTACTATCGATCTGTCCATCTGCTCTAAGTCCAGTGCTTTTAACCAAAGCTGAAATATTAAGAAAACTCATAAGAATATAGCTTTTACATAATTGATTGCACAAGAAGTACTTTGTAGTGACAAAGAAAATCAGAGACGGTCATTCAATATGCACTATCAGTAGGAAGCATTCGGAAGCTAAAATGCACATACTAAGAATGGATGATCATTCATTTAGTTTTACTTGGCACTAGTTTCCTTCATATCATTTACATTAACTCAACTCATATAATACACTGAATAATTCAACTCATAAAATACATTGAGTTACAATCTTAGAATAGCAACAAAAGGAAACCAAGGTGGAACATAGAGGAAGAAAAAGTTAATAGGCATTTTGATCAATATGTCAACTTAAATACATAAAATGGAAAAGAAAATGAAATAATGCAATAAAATGCTTTTAAAATTGCACTGCATATACAAAACTATCACTGTCAAAACATTTGGAAATAAAAGGCTTGTAAAAAGGAAGGCAGGATATACCCAATGTGTAAAGAGGAAGAAGTTTAAGTGCCTCAGGAAGGATAAGTTGCCCTGAGGATGACACTGTCGCACAGAATTTACGGTAAGAGTGCAGAATATTGATGCAAAGGTTTGTCACTTGTTCTCTTATCCGTGAGAGAGGAGCAGTTGGTACTTCACTGGCAGCTGCATGCACGAAAAATTCCATAAGTACGATTACTCTTTTAAGATAATAAACAAGGAGAAAAAGGGAAAAATAGAATGAAATAGCAACAGTGCATGAGATAACATTAAACTTCAAAAGCAAGCAGGCCACTTGGCAACTCGTCATAGTAATTATGTCGACCACAAGAACACGATTAATAAGCTATAAAGAGCTAATTTCAAAATATTTGCTTCTGGCCAGGAGAATCTTTTTTCTTTCAAGTGTGTGTGTGATGGAATATTGAAAAAAAAACAAAAGTATTTGCTTCTGAAAGAGAGCGAGAGACTGAAAGAGAAGCAGGATGTTAAGGTCATCAATGCAGGATCTTGTGCAGCTAATCTTAGGAGATAGGGGAGATAAATATAGCTTCTTCATCAGCAAAGAATATCAGCACAAAGTTAGTTCTGTCTAGATTCAGTTCCAAATATGCAGAACAAGAGTTACGGGAATTATAAAGGAGCACCATTGCAGAAACAATCAGATTCAATGTTAACCCATGGACATGTACGATGTCTCCATACACAATCTTATATCTGATTTGGCTGCAACTGTCATCCTTATACTTAAGAATATGACACAGTGTATTATTAGATAGTATCCTCTACCTTGCTTTAAGATGCAAGCAAACTGGGTGTCCAAGTCAGCTGATCGAAATAGATTACTCAACATAGTTGTGCAAGGCAGAGCCAAAGTTGACACTCGGATTCTTCTTTGGCCATCAATGGTAGTGTAAAGAACAGCAGACTGGAAACACAGAAACAATCTCTTGTAAATGGGGCCAGCATATTGCACCAGGGAAGAAAAAAGTAAAAAAGGTGGAAGCAGCAGCAGCAGGGAAAATTAGACATACAGAAACACGGCAAAAATGATTGACCAAAAACTCATTGCTGAAGACTCAAATAAATTTGTACCTGAAAAGAACATTCTGAACCATCCTGCAATTTGTCATCATGTTTCAATGTAACCATAATTGTTTTGTCACAGTCAATCTGCACAAGGG